CTGGGGGGCAGGTGGAGCCTCTGGGGATGGTGTGACGGCCTCTGCCTGGGCCAGGGTGCTCCAGGGAGCAGACCTCGAGCAGCCACCCCGTCCACCGAAGGTGGCAAACCCATGGGTGGCAAACCTGTGGCGACGGGAGCACCTGCCTTCCTAGACACCCGCCTGAGGAACTCCAGGCTGAGGCTCTTTGCTGACGCAGGAGGGCATCTCGTTCAGCGTCCTTGAGGACGGAACGCGTCCATCTAGATGACTGTCACCCGTGAGGGCTCCTGAAAGGCCTCTGCTCCCGGAGGAGTCCTGAGGCCTGTCACAGCGACCCCACGTCCGCGGCAACCGCCCTCCTGTCACCGTGGGTGTATTTTAGGTCCCCCGTGTAAGCGAGATCCTACACCATCTGAGTTTCGGGGTCCGGCTCATATCAATCGGCGTGACGTCACACGGTGGGATTGCCTTCTTGCTTTGGGGACCTGGACGCGATTGTGCCGTGGAGCGCAGCACGTCTTGGCCACGGAGCCACCGCGCCGCCAGTCACGCTGCGCGGCACCTGGGAGGGCAGATCCGTCAAGACCCGACCTGCGCTCCCCCGGGGCGATGCGCACCCAGAGGGGGCCTGCTGGATCGAGGGCTGTTCCTGCGTTTCACTTTTTGAGGAGCCCCGTGTCCTCTCCCGCAGTGGCGATGCCCGTTTGCACCCCCACCGACGGCACACGGCGGGGGGGGGGGGTGTTCCTTGCCAACGCCGGGAGCCTTTATCTTTCGGGTAACGGCCATCCTGAGGTGGGGGGTGCCCGATGGCATTTCCCTGACGATGAGTGACGGTGAGCAGCCTGCGCGTGCCCGCGGGGCAGGCGTGTGTCTTCTTGGCTGAGCTTTAAATCCGGTCGTCTGTGTCTCGCGTTGCCCGCGCTTGGTGGCTGTCAGCTGTGCGAGGGGCTCGCGTGTTCCAAAGGACGGTCCTTTCTCAGCTACGCGGTCCCGCCCCGGACGTGCCTTTTCATCTCGAGGATGGTTTCCTGTGCGGCCCAGAGGATTTATTTGCATAAAGTGCGATGTCCTACCGTTTGCTTATTTTTGCTTGTGTTGCCTTTGTGTGGGGTCATATTTAAAAAAAAAAACAAAGCAAAACACGGCATGGCCAAAACCGGTATCAAAGATCTTCTTCCCTATGTTTTCTTCTAGGATTTTTACAATTTCGGGTCTTACATCTAAATCTTCGATTCATTTCGAGTTAATTTCTGTGAGTGGTGTGAGGCAAGAGTCCAGTTTCATTCTTCTGCACGGGAATATCCAGTTCTCCCACCACCATTCCGCTACCCTTTGTGTATCTTTGGAGACTCTGCCAAACATTAGTCGACCATACGCATTTGGGTTTATTTTTATCCCAATGTTTTATGTATTTTTAAAAAAAAAAAAGATTTATTTTTGGGGGGGCACCTGGGTGGCTCAGCAGTTGGGCGTCTGCCTTGGACTCAGGTCATGACCCCAGGGTCCCGGGATCGAATCCCACGTCAGGCTCCCTGCATGGAGCCTGCTTCTCCCTCTGTCTGCGTCTCTGCCTCTCTCTCTCTCTGTGTCTCTCATGAATAAATAAATAAAATATTTTTTAAAAAATATTTTAATTATTTATTCAAGTGAGCACACGTGCACATGAACACGTGGAGGGGAGGGCCAGAGGGAGAGAGAATCTCAAGCAGGCTCCCTTTTGAGCGCGGGGTGCGTCTTTTCAATACCGGCATCGCTCCGCTTTGATCCCTGTACGTGGGTAGTGTGATTCTAAATGAGGAGGTGTGATTTTTTTTTTAAATTTTTTTAGAGGGAGTCCATCCAATCTGTAGGTTGTTTCGGGTAGTATACACATTTTTACGCTACCAAGTGTTCCGGTTCACACACAGCACGTCTATTTACTTGTGTCTTCTTCTTCCATTTCTGCCATCAACGTCTTCTAGTTTTCTGTGCACTGAGCTTTTAGCTCCTTGGTCAAGCCTATTCCTAAGTGTTTTTATCCTTTTTGATGCTGTTGTAAATGAGACTGTCCTCCTAATTTCCTTCTTAGGTAGTTTGTTTCTGTTGTAGAGAAAGAAATCCAGTTGACCTTCGTCTGTTGACTTCGTATTCCAGCGTCCCTGAACTTACATTCCAGCAGGTGTGGGGTCGGGTCCTCAGGGTTTTCTCTGTATAATATCACGTCATCGGGGAACGGAGACCCCTTCCCCGTCTTCGTTTCCAGGCTGGATGCCCCTCGTTTCCTCTTCCTGCCCGATTGCTCTGTGTGCCAAGCCCTGGGCGTACAGAGCAACTAAAGCATCGCCCTGCCCTGGAAGAGCCCACAGGGCAGTCTGCTCGTTCAGAACCGCAGGGGAGCGATGCCACTGAGGGGCGTTCACACCCGGGTGCAGAATCGGGGTGTGGGGACCCCGCACCCCCCAGTGGTGGTGGGGGAAGAATTGGGGCCCGGAGCTGCAGGGCTCCACTCCACAAGCCGCCTTGGGCCTGCCTGCAGCATAGGCGAGTCCCCGCAGCATCAGGAAGGTCCCAGGCTGATGCCTGGAGCACCCACGCCCCGGTGGTTGAGAGCCCTGGTGGGGACGGAGGGTGTGCAGGCACGTGTGCCCTTCCAGTGAGCACGGACCTGCCTCAGGGGAGCAGCAGAGGCGGGAGGAGCTGGGGAGGAGCCGGGGAGGAGCCGGGGAGGAGCCGGGGCCTCTGCGGCAGGTGCCTTCCAGGGGGTCAGGCCGCGTCCCGGGCCCCGTGGGGGGCAGGGTCTGCGTGACCTTCCTGCCTCCTTGTTTAAAAACCGTTAACGCACGCCGCTTTTGAAATATTAGACCGAGGGAAGGTGGTGAGTTACTGCCTCATTTAAGCTCTGGCTTGCCGGGGTCGTCTCGGGGAGGGAAGGCACTGAACGTGCGTAAAAGCCCACTAGGGCGCGGGGCGCGGGGCGGCTGGCGCAGTGATGTATCGCAGTGTGGGGTGGCATCCGTTATAGGGTGCCATAAAGCAGTCATCCTGTCGAGCTCTGGACGGGAGCCTGGACAATTAAATCACCTCCTCCAGAGACGGGCGCAGCCCGCGGGCCCCCGAGCCCACGAGGGAAGTGTGGAGGGCCGCAGGGCTGCAGGGCCCCGCCGCCCAGCCCACCGAGCTCTTTGGAACGTCCCAGCTCACACCGTGTGTACGTGTGTCCGCGCCGGTGGCCAACGTGCCCGACCGAGCCCCTGTAAGCGGGAGACGCTCCGCTCGACGCCCGTCTGCGTTTCGCAAAACCCTTCCCTTGGAACGTTGCTCCTTGGGGCAGAAGGGCCCCTGCTCGGGAGAGTCGGGGACCCGCCCGGGCAGACGGCGGCCCGGACTGCCGAACGAACGGGGCTCTCGGGCGCGTGCACGCCAAACCCTGGGAAAACGGGACTTGCCAGGGGGCTGTTCTGCCAGTCACGGGTAACTGGGTTGGTCTCCGCGGGTGGATTTGTGGAAATAAAGGGGAAACGCGGCGTGGGTCTGGAGCGGCGGGTCGTGGAAGGGCGGCGGGCGTGGGGGATGAAGGGAGGCCCACCCCGTCTCCAGGCTCGCCCGCGCCCACCTGCTCTCCCGGTTGATGAGATGCCCCAGGATCGCGCTCCGGGCAGAGCCGCAGCCTGTGGCCCCTCCCGGCCGAGGCGCACGCTGGCCATCGCCGTCGCGATCACGGCCAAGCTTCGCCAGATGCCAACGAGCGGGGTCAATAAGCTGCCAGATTTACGTGCCCGCGAGCAGGAGCCCTGGAGGGCAGCCGGCCGGCACCCTCGCCCCAGCCGCCAGCGCCAAGGCTTCACGCCCCCTTTCCGGATTCGGACCAGAGAACTAGATCCGCGCGCCTTGTTCTCACGCGTGGGCCACGGCCTCGCTCCTTCCCCTCCCTTCTGTGAGGAAGACGGGGAATTCTCATTTATTTCTGTTTCCTTCTGTGTAATAAGCTCATTTTTTTTCTTGTTATACAGGAAAGGGGATTCTAGTTTGCTGCCTTGGGACCCGCCAAGGAGCGAAGCCTCAGTGCACGGAGCGCGCCCGGGAGAGGGCAGAGTGAGGGGCGGCTGACCTTGGCCGCGGATTGCGCGGGGGTCACTGAAGCTGCCAACGACGATAAATTAAGCTCCTGTGCTCGCAGCGCATTTGGAGTGGCACCAGGCAGGACCCGGGCTCCCGCACAAGCAGCACTTCGCCCGTCACTCCCGTTGCCTGTCGTAGGCAAGGGGACCGGCCGCCTGCTTGTCCCTGAGACTCGTCACGTCCGAGCGCCCACCCCGGCACGCTGATCGCCAGGAAGGTGCCCCGAGGGGGCGGCGGTTCATCGTCCTCCGGGCGCCTGGCGGGGTGGGCGCAAGGGTGACACAGCGGGGGGGTCGGCCTTTTAAGAACTAACATTGAGGCTTCCCGAAGTAAGACCCGCGTGTGGCAAGACGTGGGCTGAATTGCAAGACGCATTCATGAGGGTTGGCAGCATTTTCCCTGTCGTTCGAGGCCGTGTGGTCTGGTGTCGCCTGTACACATAGGCCGGGAATGGGCTCACCCGCAGCACGACACCGGGTGCAGCATCGAAACCTTGCTGCGGGGCGGCCGGGGGCGAGGAAGCCCCACGTGGGGGGTGCTTTTACCAGGCTGGTTGGAGGCGCCGTACTCCCACGGACGCCTTAACTCAAGTGACATCTTGCAGAAAATGCTGGTGTCTCCCTGGCACGTTACCAGTTCTGCGCTTATGGAGAGGCCTACGACGGCCCTCCCTGCGTCTTTCTTTTCTATGTCCCTCTCGTCTGTCCGCCTTTCATTCCTGTGCCCCACGTGGGCACTTGCGGCGGCTTATAAAGTGAGTGATCACGCACACGGGGGGCACTGGGGGCACCAGCAGACACGAGAAGCTGTGAAGAGGGTAGGAGGTCCAGATTCCCAGCAGACGGTGTGGTTGTCTCTGCATACCCTGGGAGGGCAGGCGTTTGAGGGGTGCTGGGGACAGCTTCCCCTGTGGCCCGTTCCCCTCCACAACCCCGCCCCCAGCCCCATGACAACTGCATGGCCTCTCCCTTTCGTGCTCAGGATATTTGATAAAGTGGCTCAATAGCAGGGGACTACACTTGCTTGTGTCACAGAGGCTTGGTTTGGCCGCCATATCTCTGCATGAGACCCTTAGGATCGAAAGGACTGGAGGGCTACCTGGCACCCATGGGCGAGCCCCCTGCATGCCTGGTGGCGGCCGGCCAGCTCCGGGGCCTTCTGAGGCCACAGGCCGTCGCTTGGTCCAGACCGTTGCCTTTCCACTCGTTGGAACTGGCTGAACCGCACGTCCCTGCTGGGCAGGTCCCTGGAGGGCTGAGAGCTGGCGCTCACTCGCTGCTCGGCCCTGACGGTCCCCCTGCTATGGCGCAGGTACCTGGGCTGGGCCCTCCCTCCTGGGTCCGAGCGGGCTGGGGTTGGCGTTCAGCTTTCTCGCCTGTGCTCTCTGGTTAAGGCCGCTCGTTCAGAGGGATAAGGACATGGACTTACTTTTCCCTTTCAGACAAGAGGCTTCATCTTTCCGCAGACTACACAATAGAGGGAAAGAAACCAAAGCACAGACACAAACCGATCCATTTGCACAAGTGAACTTACTCTCGGGACTAGATTCTAGTTCTTGGCACCACATTCTTCTGAAATGGTCTTGGAGCAGCATGGCAGACAATCTACTGAACCCGTTTCCCCAAAAAAGAGGTATCTGGTGAGGACGGATGGTTCTCATATTGGTCCTTGGTGCAGGGTTGTGGTCGTAGCTAAGTCACACGTGGGGGAGGGATGCCTGGGGACCCAGGAGGCCCTTGGTTGGGTTCCCGAAGTTCTGCTTCCCTGACGGCAGGAGACTTGAGCTACATGTGTGGTGGGTGATGTATTCGTAAAGGGTCGTTTTCCTGTTGTTATGTCATAACTGCCACTAAAACTTTCTGCAGATGACATTCAGCTGCGAGGAGACAGACTCTGCGGTCGCACTTAGTAAGGGAAGCACATCGCGAGCTTCCACCTAAGTCTGGACGGAGAAAGAGCAAGAGAATTTGGTAGGCTCAGAGGTCAAGCGAAGGGAGATGTCGGGCTCCAGGCCCTTCACGTCTTGGCCTAAACCCAGCCTCACCCCCCAACCCCCGCCCGCTGTGTCCATGGGGCCACTCCCCACCCGGCACGCTGGCTCCTCACTACCCGTCCACCCACAACCTAGGCTCTCTCCTGCTGACCCGACCGCTTCTACGCTTCTCCCCTTCCCTCCTCTTACTCTGTAAGTCTTCTGAAGTGTCCCCTCGCAGAGACCTTCCCTCCACTTACTGCATTTGTATGGCTTCTGGAGTGTTTCCCCTGCACGAGCCCTTCTGTGACCATGTGCATGCACAGGAGCTCCTCTTTGGGTTTTCATAGCCAGTTTATTGTTGCTTACACGTGGACCTCTTAAAACCTGTTTTCTTTTTTTTTTTTAAATCTAGTTTTTAATGTTTGAATATACTTTTTTTTTTTTTTTTTTAGCACACAGTCCACTGGTTTTTGACAAATGCATAGCTGTGTGGCTCCTATACAATCACCTTGCAGAGTCCATCATCCTCCTGACGTCCTGATGCATCCCCCTGGAGTCAGTCTCTCCTACTCCACTCCAACAACTGCTCATCTGACCTTCATCCCTATGTTCTTCCAGAGCGTCACATAAATGGCATCAGCCCGTAGCCTCTTGGTCGGGCGCCTTCCACTTAGCGTGATGCGTCGGAGCTGCATCCACCCCTTGTCAGTGCTGAGAGGTACTCCGCTGTGTACAAGGACAGCACCACCGATGGATATTTGGATTTTTCCTTATTTCGGTGAGTGTGAATAAATCTGTTGTAAGCATCTTATACGGGTTCTGTGCAATCATAGCCCGCATTACTCAGTTGCCGTGAAGGAGGATTCTAGGCCGTGTGGTAAATGTATGTTTAACTTTGCGAGAAACTGCCAAGCCGCTTCCTCAGGTGGCTCTCCTGGTGCGTCTCACTAGCAGAGTTCTCCGAGTCCCAGATGACCTCCATCCTTGGCAGCGTGTGTGCGATCTGTCATTTAGATTCAGCCACTGTGGTCGGTGGACAGGCTATCCAATTGTGGTTTTACGTTGCATTTCCCTGATGACTAATGATGTTGGCTGGCTTTTCATGTCTGTATTTTCCATCCATAAATCTTCTTTGGTGAAGCATCTGTTCACATTTTTGTCCATTAAAAAAAAAATCGGGTTGTAAGTTTTCTTATTTTTGAGTTTTGAGAGTTCTTTATATCTTCTGGATGTAAGTCCTTTGTCAGGTGTTTGATTTGCAAATATTCGTTCCCAGTTGGTGGCTTTAAAAAAAAAATTCTCTTAACAGTGTCTTCCACAGAGCAAAAAAGTTTTAATTGTGCTGATGTCTAATCTATTAATTTTTTTTTATGGATCATGCTCCTGATGTCATATCTAAAATCTAATAGCCTAACCCAAAGTCTAAAAGGTTTTCTCCTATTTTTCACTTAAAACCTTTACAGATCCACCTCTTACAGTCATGCCTGTGACTCATTTGAATTATTTTTCTTGTGCTACGAGAGGTATAATGAGGCTTCTTTTGTCACATATGCATATCAATAAACAAGCACCACTTGTTGAAAAGGTGATCCTTTGGGTTGCTTTTGCAATTTTTTGAAAAGTCATTTGAGCGTATTTGTGCGAGGGTACCGGATTCTCTATTCTGGTCTGTGTATTCATCTTTTCACTAATAACTACATGCGCCTAACTCACTAGTTCTTGGAGCTTTCTTTGTTTTTGTAGGACACTTGGGGTTTTCCAGGTGGACAATCATATTCTATGCAAAATGGAGGCAGTTTCATATCTCCCTTTCCATTCTGTATGCCTTTTATTTCTGTATCTTACCCCATCTCTCTGGGGGCCACGGACCCCAGTTGAAAAGCAGGGCTGGGAGGTGACGTGCTTGCTTTGCTCCTGATCCCAGGGAGTGAGTCATTTGGTCTTTGGCCATTGAGTAGAGATACCATATATCAAATTGAAGAAGTCCCCTTCTCTTCCTGTTTATCTGAGAGTTTTTATCATGACTGGATATTGAGCTTTGTCGAATGCTTCTCCTGTCTCTATAGATATGATTACGTAGCGCTTGTGCGGTGTGTCGATGTGGGGAGTCACGCTGATGGATTTTCAGATGCTGACCAGCCTCACACCCTGGGATAAAGCTGCTTGCTTATGATTTGTTATCTTTACTAAAATTTATTTGCCAAATTTTTCTGGAGGACTTTCATGTCTGTGCTCACGAGGGATATTGGTCTGCTCTTTTATTGTGACGTCACAGTCTGGGGTTGGCATCAGAATAATGCTGGCCTCTTGGAATGGGTTGACAGGTGTTCCTGCCTCTCTTTTTTAGGAAGCAGTTTCGTGGAGCCCATTTTCGTAGAATGTTCGATCGCATTTGCCAGTAAAGTGTTCTGGAGTTTTCTTTTTTGGGGGGTTGATCGTGCGCCCAGGTTTTGGGGGCTCTGCCCTTTCTTCCCGTGTCTGCTACCCTCTCCGTTCTGCAGGTGGAATAGTTTACGAGGAGGATCTGTATTCAGGCTCTCGGACTCATTTTGCCATTTGCATTCTACTGTTGAATCTTCCTGGTGATCTTTACTTTCACTTCGAAGATGTTATTTTTCGGCTCTAAAACGTCCTCGCTTTTTTTTTTTGTTGTTTTGCATAGTGTCTCCTTCTCTGCTGAGACATCTGTTTTCCCCTTTGTCTCAAAGGTGTTCCCCTCGCTCTCCTAGACCACGGCTATAACTGCTGCTGCGTCCTCTCAAAGTTGGCATGTGCTGATTGTCTTTACTCTTCAAAGTTGGTCGTATTTTCCTGATTTTAGTACGTTGAATAATTTTGAATTATATCCTGGATATATTGAATTTTATGTTGTGAGGTGTTCTGTTTTTTTTTTTATTTATTTACTCACTTATTTATTTATGTAGGGCCCACACCCAGTGTGGAGCCCAACTTGGGGCTTGAACTCACGGCCCTGAGATCAATACCCGAGTTGAGATCAAGAGTCGGATGCTTAACCATTCAGGTGCCTCTAGTTCTGTTTAAATTAGTGCTTCTCAGTTGGGTGGGATTTTGCCCCACAGAGGACATTTGGTGATGTCTGGAGTGCTCCTGGCATCTGGTGGGTAGAGGCCAGGGATGCTGTTAAAGCCCCTACAGTGCACAGGACAGCCACCTTCCCCCCAGATAATTGTTCAGTCCAAAATATCGACAGTGCACAGGTTGAGAAACCCTTGCTTAGATCGTAGAGAATAAGGTTCAGACCGTGAGTCCTGTCCCACCATCTGCGGGAAGTGGTTTCAATGTCAGCTCAGCCTTCCGAGCCTTTGCTGTGATTCCTTGGATTTGTTCCACGCAGGCACGGCTGGGAAGTAGGCCTGGAGCTCATGTTGGCTCACGTGGGTCCTTGGTGGCTCTTCTTGAAATGCCTCCCTCAGGGTGTCCCCAACGCGCTCTGGACCACAGTGGCACTTCCCAGTCTTCAGGCTGGATGGTTCCGGCTTCCCCGAGTCTTAGATTTGTCCTCCCCACCCCCACCCCCGTGCACTGTATTGTGATCTCGCATAACTGGCTGGCTTTGGGGGCAAGGTGGCAAGAGAAAAAAAGAATAAGCAGGATTTCCCTAAATTCTTTGGAACTCAGAGGCCTGATTTCCTGCTTCTCCACCAGAGAAGTGTTTTTTATTTTGTTTTGCTTTTCCCTGGGCATTTGAGGAGCCTACAGCCCGGCCGGGGCCGCAGCCTCGTGGTGGGCGGTGGCTTTGGAGCAAAGCCAGGGGAGGACACGAAGGAAGAGGATCCCCTCGACCTGCCCCCAGCACCCTCTGGCTCTCCGAGGCCCCTCTTCGTGTCCTCTGGCCAGAAAGCGGGGTTCCCTCGGCCTTCTCTGTCCTCCTTCCCGCATGGTTCGGAGGCCCAGACTGCCTGAAGCCAGCCTGAGAGGAAACGGAGGAAAACCCAGAAGCTCAGGACCTCGCTGGTCATTTGTCCGGTTTCACCTGCCCTTTCCCATCTTCCCACTGCTGTGCGCTCATCAGGGTCCTTGTCAGGGTCCTCGGATGCCGGCGTGTGGCCTTCTGTCCAGAGCATTAGCTGTAATCCCTGGAGGTGGCTTGTGGTGCATCCGCTCCATCGTGGCTGACACCAGAGGTGATCGGTTTCCTTTTTTAAGACGGGGAGAAGGGAAGATAAAAGGGGAGTCTGGGCGGTGCCTGGTGTAGCTTCTCCTAATCCTTGGAGTGCTGGGTTGGTTGGCATGGGGCAATTTTATTTTATTCTCCTCCGCCGTCCCTGTGAAGAGGGCGGGTAGAGCGCAAACACGGAGAGGACAGTGGAGCGTGGTTCTAGGTTCAGAGGCTCGGCCGTGCTCACGCGTCCTCTGCACTTGGAGCCTCCCTTGCCGTGGGCTGTGGCCGTGCGACCGACCCCACGTGCGTGCAGCTCTGAGCCATACTGTGTGCAGCCCTTGCCTGGAGCCCTGCGGTGTGGTCCTCAGGCTGACCGTCCGTGCTCCCCGTGCTGTCCTCGGGCTCTCCGTCCATACTCCCCGTGAGGGCCCCGGGCTATCTGTCCATGCTCCCTGTGGGGGCCCCGGGCTGTCCGCCCATGCTCCCCGTACTGTCCTCGGGCTGACTGTCCGTGCTCCCCGTGCAGGCCCCGGGCTGCCCGTCCGGCCTCCCTGCAGCTGAGCGCCAAGGGCCAGCGTGGCCTCCGTGGCCGTTCCGGTTGAGCCGCAGGCTGGAGAAGCCCCGGGTCCCCGAGTCACCGTGTGCAGAGGATGCGCCCGTGGCGGGTGCCCGGCCCACCCCGGGCTGTGACGTGAGCAGCACTAAGATTTCCCTGATTGAAGTCACACCAGGGCTGCAACGGCCGTGAGAGTTTATCACGCTGACAAATACCATCTTTAAGGGGCAATTAGACTCTCTGCCTGGCTTGACCATCGAGGAACGTGCTGGACTTTTGATGAATGATTTCCCATCTCTGATCCCGTCTTAGCCCCTACCCGCTGGCGTGCATTAATTTGACCCACTGGTGTTACTCTTTTCTTCTCGCAGCAATGCTGAAAGATAAATTGAAGCAATCTCTGGAAGATTTTGAACTCTTTGGAGGAAGGAGAGTGTATAAAGACAAGGCATCATTATCATCACAATCCTGAGCACCACTCTGCCAAGTACACAGAGAAATTATTAATCATCCCTTAACTTTGACGGAACACAACTATCATTTCTGCAATTGAGATCTGCAGATAATTAGAAAGCACGCTGCCTCAGCCTACCAGTTGCCGCCTTCCCTCCTGATTACGGGGTGTCCTTGGGTGGGCCTCGTGCCCGTGACAGCCGCCAGGACGCAGCCGAGGCGCCGCGGCGGCGAGTGTGCTTGGGGAGAGCGCGGGCCGGCGACAGGACTCCCTGGCACAGTGTTCTGGGAAGCGGCACACTCAGCCTGTGTCTGTCACTTGTTAGATGTGGTTTAATTAAGCAAAGAGGGTCACCGTGGGGAAGCCTGCTCTGCCCGCGATTTGATTTGCGAGATGGTTGAAACGTTTGGAAGCTCCTTTAAGAGACCAGGTGGTATAAATGAGGGGGGTCGTTCACCTGAGTGGTTAGATGCGGAGCAGCTGAGACACACGACGCTTTGTGGAGGGCGTTCCCGGGCGGGGGGTGCCTCCGACCTGGTGCTGGGGGCAAGGAGCTGGGGCCACCCGGTCCCCCGGGGGCTCCTCGTGCACCCAACTGCAGGCCCCACCAGGCCGACGGGGCCTGGATCGCTGGGAAGGCAGGGAAGTCTGTCCCCCCAACCCTTTATTATTTTGATGCAGTCGTAGGTTCGCCCTGGCTGTAAGACGTAACGCACGGGGATGGCGCCCTCTCCGTCATCGGTGTCCCTCCACAAGGACACCCTGCAGGACCGCGGCAAATCACACAGCCAGGCCGTTGGCCCGGATGCAAAGCCCGGCCCCGCTGGGGTCTCCCGCTCCCCTTTGTGCGTGCTTGTGTGTGCGTGTCCCTCTCGCAGCTCCGCCAAGGCGCCTCCGCCTCGCCGTCCTGGTCTGGAGAGGCGGCCTCGCTGTCTCTGCGCTCGGAGCGTGGCAGGGATGTGGCGAGGACTCCATAAATCTTTGCTGAAGAACCGTTCAACTCCCCCTGAAGGGAACCGTAGGACTTTCATGCCGAATCAGAGATGTGATAAAGAAGCATTTGTCAAAATAGATGAGGCCCTGGCGAAGCCCCATCAGCCAAGGGCTTCGAGCAGAGCGTGTGCCGGCAGCGCAGCAGCGGAGGCTCTCTGCGGGCGCGTCTGTCCGCACGTGAGACACGCGTGGCTGGGCCTGCCAGCAGATCGTCACGTCTCGAGCGTCTGAAGCATCTTCAGGCGTCCAGACCCGGTGCTGGGACGGCCTCCTCTCGCGGTGTGACGCAGACGCCGGAGGACCGTGGGCAGGAGCGTCCTCAGGGCTCTGAGGAGGAGCTTCCGAGCCCCTAGGATGTCGTCTCTGATTGCCACGCCCTGGGACACGTCACAGCAGCTCCTACTGGTTTGGAAGACAGGAGTCCTGGGCAGCGGGTGGCACGCAGGCCTGGACGCCGTCCGTGCTCTCGGTGGCGCTCTGTCCGCAGTGGGCTCCTCCACTGCCGCAGCCGACGCTGTGAGGGTAGAAGGGTAGTGACACGGCGGCAGCTTGGGGGTGGCTGCGTGCTAGCTGCACCACAGGAGAGTGGTGGGCGCGTGGGCTCGTGGTCCTTGCGTGGTCCTCGTGTGGTCCTCACATGGTCCTCGCATGGTCCTCACACGGTCGTTGCACAGAAGTGGCGTGGACATTGTGCAGCAGGTGTGTGATGACAGCATGATCCTTACGTGGCAGGCACGTGGTCGGTGTGTGGTTGTGTCGTACCCACACGGTACTGGCATCATAGTTGCGAGCCGCGGCGACTGTACTTGGGGACAGCTGCCAGGTGCTTAGAAGAGCCGTGACCTGGAGCCAGACAGACACACGGTCAGGTCCCGGTTGCACCACTGACTGCTGTGTGAGAGCCCTCGGTGCGCCGGGTCCCCCCCCCCCCGTTGCGGCCGCACGGTGCCCTCTGCGGACTTGCACTCAGCGGGGCAAACTCTGCATGTGCCACACGGGGCGTGGTTTATCGTTGGAGGAGCTCAAATCATCTGACCCTCAACCAACAGAAACCAAAAGGCGTTCGTGCCTCTCAGGGCCGAGGCCTGCACCGGGGGCCGGCACCCCCGTGTCAGGGGAGCGAAGGGCAGCGGCGGTGTCCCAGGGTGGGAACGTCCCTGGGCAGCACGCTATGCAGCGTGGGCCACCGCGGGCACGACAGTGTCCTGAGTCAGGCTCGCCCTCCCGTAGGCCTCACCTGCCTGGTGCGGAAACACCCCCGGCCCTCCTGCGGAGCGGGGAGGGGCCGAGGGGCCGAGACCTTCCCGCACATACGGGTTCCTGCACAACGGATGCAGCCCCCCAGGTTTCTCCATCGGGAAGCAGGGACAAGCCCCAGTACTGGCGGGGCCGGTTACAGCGGCAGCGCTCGCGTTGCGCAGTCCCTCCTCGCCTCCCTGGGCCACGTGCCCCGGCCGTGAGCAGTCTCTGCCCTGAGCCCCCCACCCCGGTGCCTTCGCCTGGACCGACCCCCCCTCGGCCCTGCCGGCGTGGCTCGGCCAATCCGGTCCCTGGACACAGGCAGGCCTGCGGGGTCCGGGGGCCTGACCCGGCTCGGATCTTGCTCCTCCCACTTCGGTCTCTTCACAACAACGAAGTGGAGCGAGTGGAAGTCAGACGAGGAGTTTCAACAGTGCACGTGAGGGTGCGGGTGGAGGGGGTGCGCTGCCGGGGCAGAGCCTGCGGGTGCGGGTGCTGGGGGGCCGGGCTGGGCGCTGCTCCTGACCCGGCTGCCCTGGGGGGTCCCGGGCGGCTGTGTGATTGGGCCTCCGCTCACCCCCTAACGCAGCATTTGCCCATTGACAGCCCACAGACCTCTGGGCTATTGAGCCTCGCTCTTAAATGGAAGCGTCTAAGAAAACCCGAAATAAATACGCAGGACACAAATGACATATGAAGAAACACAGACAATTTAGGAAAAGACTTGAAAACCCCAGTAAGTACCTCGAGAGGTCTGGGTACGACGCAGTCACGAGACGTGAACGGTGCGCTGTAAGAAGGGAACACTTGTGCCTCCAGACGGCTCCTGGAAACCTGACGTGTACTTGCCGAAATTAAAAAGAAAAGTCAATAAAAAAGGATAAAGTTGGGGAAAATTTCTAGAAAGTAGAGCAAATGAGAGACACTATAAAAGAAAAGCGAAAGAACTGCATCAACACAGAGAATCGATGTCCAGTGAGCGGAAATCTCCAAAGGGGAAGCGGGAACGTGGGCGGCGGGGCGGGAGGAGGCCCGTGCAGGTGGAACCCGGGCGCTGTCTCTGCCGAGAGACGCACGACACCAGGTGCAGAGACACTGAAGAATTATTTAATGAAACAAAAAAAAATGATTCGGCTACAGAGACGTTAAAATTAGGCACTCGGTCTTGAAAAGCAGGGGCGATGCGGTCGTCGGACTCTCAGGAACCAGAGCCCCCCCACCAGGCATTTGTAGGTTCAGCGGGGTCCCAAGGCCCCTTCCTTACCTTTCCAATCGGGGAAAACACTCGTGCGGGAGGTAAGTGCCGGGAGTGCAGAGAGCGGGGCCCCCTGTGCCCACCCTGCCCGTGCCACCGGTCACCTCGTGCAGCCAGCTGTCGACCAGCGTTGACTAAGCTAAGTCCTTTCTTCCGGAGGTACTGGAGGTGGGGCATGGGGAGCACACCAAGAACGAGGAAGCCATAGGGTCCACGGTACGGGGGTCTGATGCCAGAGAGCTGGGGGGCCCGGGCGGGGCTGCCCACCACAGCAGCCCCCCAGCGCCGGCCGCTCGGGGCGTCCAGGTGACCAGGAGAGTGAGCGCACCTGCACGGGCCCCTCCGCATCCCCCCCGCCCCCCGGCTGGACCGGGAGGGCTGAGCAGGTCACATGGTCAGGATGGCAGCAGCCCCGAGAGCCACCTGGGGCCCCAGGGGCTGTTCACGGACCGTCTACCTCCCCCTGCACGGACCCAGGAAACAAAGATGGTGATTACCCCGTTTTACGTGGGGCTTATCCGGTACAGCGATGAGCTATGCTAACTAATTCAGGTTAATTGGTTTTCAACTTTCTAGACTCTGTAGACAAAGCACAGGAGACTCAATTATGAGTAAAAATAGAAGGTGGCGGTACCAACCTTAACAAGGTGAAGCGTCGCTGTCAGCGTCGGAGGCGGCGGCGAGGGAGCAGCGGGGGCACGAGGATGCCGCCCTCCGTGGCGCGGGGAAGCCACAGGCCACCGGCCACCGCCGAGGTCAGACACGGCTGCACGTGGGCCGCACTTCCCTTCTGGAGGTGGGGGGTGCTGGGGGGGAGCTGCCGCCAGAGCCAGAGCAGGGGGGTGGGCGAGGGCCGGGGTCTCTCTCTCCCCTCCGCCCTCCCCTTCCCCCCTCCCGCATTCTCCCTTCTACTATTTTCTATGTTAAACGTGTGTGCTCATTACTTTTATTGAAATTTAAAATATTTAAAGGTTTGCTAAGTAAGTAAACAGTAGGAATTAGGTTACTCAAGAGAACAAGAGTTGCTCCTAGTACTTGAGGGCCACTCAATTATTAATCATTGAAAGCGCCGTGCACCCCGTTCTCATCCACTCGTTCGAGCCACCCCCGCACGTGGGGCCTTCAGACGCTCTAAGGTGAGTCGCTGCGGGCCACTGGCCACCCCTGGAAACCCCTGGAAACAGCACAGCGGGGGCTGCAACTGGCGCCCCGCGTCCGGCTTCTCATCCTCCCATGGGTCCCTCGGGCCCCAGCGGTTACTCGGACCTTACAAAGCGTAACTGGGCCTACTTCTGTTGCATTAAAAACATGAACAAGTGGGTGAGCTAGAGCGTGGGGAGGGTTGACAGCGGGGCCCTGTCGGGAAAAATCACGTTTGCAGGTTGCTCGGACAGGATTCTGCGTGGACCAGGGCGCCGGGCCCTTGCCGCGACCCGGGCCGTGGGGGGAGGAGGCCGTGGGGCCGCTGCCTGGGAAGGTGGCCTCTGAGGTTGCCCCGAAAGCCAGGCTGGCATTGCAGGGGGGACGAGCAGGGCCGGGAGGCCGGGAGCAGGGGGCTCTGGCAGTCAGACGCCCCCCAGCAGCCCCGGGCATGGGGGCCAAACCCGGTGTGAGGAAGAAGAGCCGTTTTCGGGACCCCTGTGTGTACCGGCTGCAGGTGCCTGTGCCAGTGGGTCACGTGCCCGCCTGGGGCGGCACAGAGGGGGCGCCCAGGTTCCGTGAAGCCTGCATCTCCCTCCGTGGCCTCCACCCCAGGTGGGAGTGCTGCACGAGGGTCCCGCGGGAGGGGGCGCGGCCGCTGTTGGGACGGGAGTGAAGGACACGCACCGAGTCTGCAAAAATCCAGGAGGCGGAAACGAACCGTGGAAGAGCCCAGTGGAGGGAGCCCGACGTTGGAGCCCGCGTGGGGCCGCAGCGCTGGGGTGACGCCGGCCTTGCCCGCCCTGGAGTGGGACTCAGGGAGGGACTCCCACGTCCTGGCCACCGGCTCCTCTGGACCTCCCCGTGATGCTCCCCGTGATTCTCCCTGTGATCCTCCCCGTAGTCCTTCCTGTGATGATCCCTGTAGTCCTCCCCGTAGTCCTCCCCGATTCTCCCTGTAGTCCTCCCTGTGATCCTCTACGTAGTCCTCCCTGTGATGCTCCCCATAGTTGTCCCTGTGATCCTCCTCATGATCCTCCCCGTAGTCCTTCCTGTGATGATCCCTGTAGTCCTCCCCGTAGTCCTCCCCGATTCTCCCTGTAGTCCTCCCTGTGATCCTCTACGTAGTCCTCCCTGTGATGCTCCCCATAGTTGTCCCTGTGATCCTCCTCATGATCCTCCCCGTAGTCCTCCCCATGATCCTCCCCGTGATGCTCCCCATAGTCCTCCCTGTGATGCTCCCCATGATGGTCCCTGTGATCCTTCCCGTGATCCTCCCTGTAATCCTCCCCATGGTCCTCCTCATTAGCATCTCCGGGGTGGCCCTGCCCCGCACGCTCGGAGCCGGAACCACAGAACCTGCACCTGCTCCCTGGCTGGCCGCCTCCCTCCCTCCCGCAGCTGCACCACCGCGTGACAGACGGTCGGGGGTGCCCGGGGCCCAGGCTCATGGGGTGCCGGCCAGCATTGGGGCTGCCTCACGCCCCAGTCCCGGTGGTGGTAACAGGGCGCTCAGCTCTGCCCTGAGGCGAGGGCAGCCCCGACGGCTGCAGGAGGAGGGGGCAGGAGCACGGCTGCTGCGGGGATTGGCCGTCGTCTGCGGTACTTGCCGAGAGAAAATGGAGAAGGTGTGAGCGTCCCAGTGCACCCAGCTCCAGATGCCCGCCGGCGGCCCGTGCTCCCGTCCGTCTGGCTTAGAGATCCAGGGACACGAGGTCCCGGGTCCGGGGAGGTCTGTGCCCCGGGAAGGGGCCCCCGCATCCTCTGGCAGCAGGTGCTCGTGGGGTCCCACCGGGAGGCTCACCTGGGTTACTCCTGGTCACCCTCCGGCCTCCTGCGGCAGGTGAGGACGCCCCTGGAGGGACCCGAGGTTTCTCAGTAGCGAGGGGGGCTGGTCCCGCTCACGCTCTGCACCCCGGGATGCTGGGGTTCAGAGGACCCCGCTGGCTCGGCCCGCGGCACAGAGGCGCCGGCGTGGGACGGGGATGTGGGCCGTTGACCTTCCCGTGCAGGGCGGTAAGGCGATTCCTAGGCAGGGACGTTTCTCACGATCAATCCAAGTCAGCCTTTGAGAGATTGAGTCCCTGCGACCAAGGTCACGGGCGACTTGACAGAGCCGGGCGACATAAATCAGCAGAACGGAGGACAAGCTTCCAGATGGAAACGGAGCGGAGATCTAACCAGGCTGCTGACGCCTGCCCTCTGCGAGCACAGAGGTCAGGGCCAGGGCTCAGAGGACGCCGGGGGGTGATGCCGAGGTCCCCGTGGGGCGGCGCTGGCTCTGCTCCAAGCTCCGGAGCTTCACGGTGTGTGTGTCCACCTGTCTCTGCGGGGCCCCGATTCACTGAGGACGCGGCTGCTGAGCGAGCGCCCCGGGCGTGAGGCCGCGCGGTATAAATAGGTGACGAAGCCCCGGGCTTGGGGGAGCGCAAGTGAGAAGCAGGGACATAGGTCAGAGGTCAGAGGAGAGATACCGGGGAAGCTTCCCCGTCTTCACCGTCACACGTCCACGAGGTGACAGGTGCGTTGGCGACACTCTCGACCTGCCTGCCCCTGCTGGGAGCCCTTCCCGGACCCGATCGCTTCTACCCCTCGCATAGTCCCAAGGGGTCCCTACCGTCCCCGTCTTCGGTGGAGACAGGTTTGCACAGTTGCCCACGGCCATGCCCTAGAGCGGTAGTGCCCGGATTTCCACGCGGCAGCCTGACTCCGCCTTCCCCAGATAGGCTCCGGGCACAGGCGAGTAGCCTGGTCACCCTGTCCCACCCTGTCCAGCTAAGTGACTCCCAGAGAAGTGTCCAGGCACATCTGAATGAATGATTGAATGAATGAATGAGTGAGTGAACAAGCCCAGGCCGTGCTGGGTGTGCGGCCTGGGCGTGCGCCGTTCCCCACAGCGGCCTCCGTTCACGGGGGAAGCAGGGTGGACAGACGCGTTTCCCTTTCCAGCGCGCAGCTGCACAGCCCTGGGGGGCAGAGGGGGGTCTGGCCCGGGCTCCACCGCCTGCGAGGCTGCGTGACCTGCCCTTTGCGGCCCCGGCCCCGGGCACGGCGAGCTCACGGACCCGGCCTCTGCCCGGGCCCTGTTCTCCCGGGGTCTCCCCACTGCTGCCCCTTCTGCCCTCGCCGGCTCTGCACCTGCTCCTCCCACGGCCGCTCAGCCCCGAGGCCGCCAGAGCAGCGCCCTCGGACGTCACGGTCTGGTCTGTTTTCTGATGTCCCCTCAAGACCTCGGCCTTCTCTACGCCATAACGTTTATTTCATCCAATTCTCTAATTCTTTCTTTCTTTCCCTCTCTCTCCTTCCTTCCTTCTTTCCTCGTTTCTTTCTTGTTTTAGAGAGGGTGGGGAGTAGGGACGGAGGGAGAGGGAGGACCCTAAGCAGGCCGCACGCCCAGCATGGAACCCGACGCAGGGCTCGACCTCACGACCCTGAGATCACGACCTGAGCTGAAATCAAGAGTCGGATGCTCAACTGACAGAGCCACCCAGGCGCCCCCATCTAATTATTTCTCAGTGTGAACCTTTTCCTCTTCTTTTTTTCTTCTTTCATTTCCTTGGCACATTTTGAAAATATAAAATCTAAAATAAAATGAAACGTTTTTTCCCCGTTTTCTACTATGTCTGCCCCTTTTTTGTAAATGCAGCCTGGCTGCTCCCTGGCCGCTCCCTGGCCGGACCTGCCGCCACAGACACCCAGCCTGGCCTCCTGCCTGCTCTGGTCTCTCGTGTGTCCCTGTCCGTGGGGACTTGAGTCCCGTGTTGTGAGAGGCTGGGGACGGAGGGCCCCCGGGGATGTGAGAGCAGACGGGACCCCACAGAGGCTCTCCTGTGGGGACAGACCCCTTGTTCCTTTAGGGTTTCATTCTCCAGCCAGCTGCACGTTGTTGCAAAGGACGCGGAGGGACGTGCGCTGGGCACCTCAGCGTGATAGGAGTTGTCCTGGATGGAGTCTGCACGAGTTGTACCCAATTTAGTCACTTATCTCGGCGAGTCCACAACTGGGTACTTCCCTGACACTGTTAGGGTCGAGGGAGAGAAGCAGGGCGAGTAACCGGGGCTTGCCCGAGGAGAGCCGTGCCGCACGGTCGGCAAGGGTGGGGTTAACCTCTGAATCCAGGTCTCCGGGCTCTGGAGCCCACGCTCCTCACTGGACGGAGCTTGGTGTATGATTCCGCTCTCGTGCGGGGCCCTTTCTACAAGCTTCCCTCCATGTGGACCATTTTCTGTTTTGGGAACTGAAGATGGGCTCCTGACGAGCTCCGACGGCTCCAGGCGCGGCCTGATGCCAGAGGGCTGCGGCCTCCCTTCGCGTTGGCCCAGCAATGCGCCCTGTGGGCAGGGCTCCTGAGTCCCGGGTGGGAGGCAGCCGGTTCGCGTGGTCCCGCCTCAGCAGCGAGGGGAGGGGCCTGGCCCGTTAACCGCACGGCGGAGCTGCGGAGCCGTCCTCTGTCTCTGCTCCCTGAGGGCTACAAAGTCCCACCCGCGGCCACGGGCCACCAGCAGGGAAATCAAGTGTGCAATGGGCTAGTGTGTGCACACTGGC